ACACACACACACACACACACACACACACACACACACACACACACACGGAGCGAGAGAGCCAGTGAGGCATATCAACACAAGATGAGAAGAGGCTTTAAAGAGCAGAACAGGTGTAAAGGAGAGATGCAGGAGGAAGAGGAGAGGAAACCTAGAAAACCCCATTAGGAGAGAGTGAATAATGTATTCAGCACAGAGACGAGAAGTGTGTGTGTGGGGGGGATGTGTTTGTACCCACCAAGTGTTCTTTGATCTCATTCTCACTGTTGTGAAGGAGAATTACCTGGTGTGTGTGTGAGACACAGCTCAGTATCTGTAAGCTGCCACCCTCTGGTGGCTGTGTCAGAGGTCCAGTTTACTCATGAAGAGTTGATCTAAGCTACATGATCTCCATCCATCCATTATCTTCTGCTTATTCTGATGTTGGGTCGCAGGGGCAGCAGCTTGAGCAGGGAGACCCAGACATCTCTTTCCACACCTCTTCCAGCTCTTCTAGGAGGATTCCAAGGCATTCCCAGACTAACCGAGAGACATATGGGCCTTTTCCCCAACTCCTCTTCAGGCTGGTTCAGCTCGGTTCAACTCAACTCAGTTCGGCACACGATGTGTTTCCATAGCCCCTTTCAGTACCGGTTCCAGTGGGCGGGGTTTAAATTGACGTTGCGCGCCTTACCAGCTGGTGGCGGTAGCACCTTGGAAACAGGATCCTCCTTGGTGACCAGCGGAGCTCGGAGCACGCAGAGCACGCAAGGCCAGGATCCAAAGCCCGAGCTGACAGCACGGAGGGTCTTCTGCGGTTACCTGCAGAGCTAGGAGCCAAGGAGATGACACCCTGCATGGCTTGAGTGGGCTCCGAAGCTCCAGTGGAGGACCGGGGAGATCGGCGGAGCTCCATCTAGCTCACACTGATCTTTGTTGTTGGCCACAAAGCACAAAAAATGCCTGCACTTCAGCATTAGACCACAGTGTTATCATTATTGTTTCTAAAATCTTAAAAATAGATCCAGCTGCTGCTCCGAGTAATTGCAAATGGCGGATTGATGTTTTGAAAAGTTTCTGAAAGATCCAGTGACTCCTCCCCCGACCAATCCATGATTGACAGTGTTCTGACGTCATGTTTTGGTGCCGGCTCGGCTCAGTTGGTCCCAGCAGAGAAGCAGGGACCAAAAAAGGAGCCGGTTTTGTGAAAAAATTACAGTGGAAAAGGGCTGAAAACCGTACCAAACTGAGCCGAACCGGGCTGAAGAGGAGCTGTGGAAAAGGGGCTAGTCACTCCAGCGTGTCCTGGGTCTTCCCTGGACTCTCCTCCCAGTCAGACATGCCTGAAGCACTTCCATAGGGAGGCGCCCAGGGGGCATCCTTACCAGATGCCCGAACCACCTCAACTGGCTCCTCTCGACGTGGAGGAGTAACGGTTCTACTCTGAGTCTCTCCTGGATAACTGAACTTCTCATCCTATCTCTAAGGGAGAGTCCAGCTACCCTGCAGAGGAAATTCATTTCAACTGCCTGTATCCGCAATCTCATTTTTTCGGTCACTACCAAGAGCTCATGACCATAGGTGAGGGTAGGAACGTAGACCGATCGGTAAACAGAGAGCTTTGCCTTACAGTTCAGCTCTCTCTTCACCACAACAGACCGGTACAGAGTCTGTAGCGCTGCAGATGCTGCATCAATTCATCTGTCAGTCTCATGCTCCATTCTTCCCTCACTTGTGAAAAACCTTTGAGATACTTGAACTCCTCCACTTGAGGCAGAACCTCACCCTCGATCCGAAGAGAGCAATCCACCCTTTTCCGGTTGAAGACCATTGCCTCCGATGTGTGTCCCATCGGTGTATGAGTGTGATAAAGCACTGATTAGCCTCTTTAGAATGATTTGTTCCATTAGCTTTGTAAAGATCTAGTAGAGTGCTGTATGAATGGGTAAATGAGGACACAGATTGTAGTGTAAAGCGCTTTGAGTATCTCGATAAGATAGAAAGGCGCTATATAAGTACAGTCCATTTACAGTCCATTTACATGTAGACAGGATAGGCAAACTCCCATGACACCTCGAGGACCCTAGTGAGGGTAAAGAGCTGATCCAGTGTTCCACAGCCAGGACGGAACCCACATTGTTCCTCCTGGATCTGAGGTTTGACCAACGATCGGACTCGCTTCTCCAGTACCCCTGAATAGACCTTACCAGGGAGGCTAAGGAGCGTGATGCCTCTATAATTGGAGCACACCCTCCGGTCCCTGTTTTTGAAGAGGGGAACCACCACCCCAGTCTGCCAATCCAGTGGCACTGTCCCCGATGTCCATGCGACATTGCAAAGGCGTGTCAACCAAGACAGCCCCACAACATCCAAAGCCTTAATGAAATCAGGGTGAGCTACTACAGGCCCCCCGAGCTGCTGAATCTAGCTGTTGCTAGCTGCGGGCCTCAGATCCCAGGCCCGCCTCCAGCTCATGCAGCCCCCGGCTCGGACTGACCGAACCTCCTCAGAGCTGACCGTTAGTCTCTATCCAAGGTCTTACCGAACTCCTCCCACATCTAAGCTTTTGCCTCAACAACAGCCAAGGCTGTGGACCACTTGGCCCTCCGGTACTCCTCTGTTGCCTCTAGAGTCCCACTGGCCAACAAGGCCCAGTAGGATCCTTCTTCATTTTGACAGCCTCCCTAACCCGGGGTGTCCACCACCGAATTCATGGTTGGCCACCGCGAGAAGCACTGACAACCTTGTGGCCACAGTTTAAGGCAACTACCTCAACAAGAGAGGCTCGCAACATGGCCCACTCGGACTCAATGTCTTCCACCTCAGCTGTGATGTGGTTAAAGCTCTCCCGGAGGTGTAAGTTGAAGATCTCGCCGACAGGTTTTTCTGACAGGCATTCCCAGCAAACCCCCACTACACATTTGGGTCTACTGGGTCTGTCCGGCATCTTCCCCCACCATCTGATCCAACTCGCTGCCAGATGGTGATCAGTTGATAGCTCAGCTCCTCTCTTCACCCAAGTGTCCAAAACAAATGGCCACAAATCAGATGACACGACTATGAAGTCAATCATTGATCTATGACCTAGGGCGGCCTGGTGTCAAGTGCACTTCTGGACACACTTATGTTCGAACATGGTGTTTGTGATGGACAAACTATGACTAGCACAAAAGTCCAACAACAGAACACCGCTCGGGTTTTGATCAGAGAGGCCGTTCCTCCCAATCATGCCCCTCCAGGTCACACTGTCATTACCCATGTGGGCATTGTCCTTCAGCAGAATAAAGGAGTCCCCAGCTGGCACACCTTCCAGCACTCCTGCCAAGGACTCCAAGAAGGCCATATACTGTGAACTGCAATTTGGCGCATTAGCACAAACAACAGTCAGAGCCAGTCCCCCCCACCCGAAGGTGCAGGTAAGCCACCCTCTCATCTACTGGGGAAAACTCCAACACACAGGCACCAAGTCGGGGGACTACAAGTAGACCCACACCAGCTTGACGCCTCTCACCATGGGCAACTCCAGAGTGGAATAAGGTCCAGCCCTTTTCATGGAGATTGGTTCCAGAGCCCATGCTGTGCTTTGAGGTGAACCCAACTATATCTAGTCGGTATCTCTCAACCTCACGCACAAGCTCAGGCTCCTTCCCCGCCAGAGAGGCTACGTTCCATGTCCCAAGAGCAGCTTTGGTAAGCCAGGGTCAGAGAACCAAGGTCCCCGCCTTCAGCCATTGCCCATGGCATCATGCACTCGACTTTTATGGCCCCTCCTGCAGGTGGTGGGTCCACAGGAAGTCTGTTAAGTTAAACTGATCTCAGTTTGGATAAATTACAGGTACAAAGAATGGTTGGTGTGTCTGTTAATTAGGGGAGGAACGCTTCTCAAAATTACTTTTATTCCATTTTTCCTTTTTTTTTTTTAAATTCTATAAACCCTCCAGAAACACCACACATCACTAAAAGATAAATCACCATTTTTCTTTTTAAACCTCAGTTATTCTCAAAGACGTGTCATGAAGTCATTTCAAAACTAAAGGAATGAAACGGTTTGACAGTTGTTAAAGCAGGATACAAGTTTTGTTCAGTAAATGGGAAGACCTGTATTATTTTAGAATGCTTTTCATATATGTAACATGTGATAGGCTTGGACTACTGGAGGACAGATTGACCTCATTTCTTTAATCGAATTGTTAAGTTGAATAGTTTTCATTTGCTACTATTTCTATCATAACGTGATTCTTGAAAATACCGATATTAATTTGTAACAATTCATTTAAGGAAATGAGGTCATTTTGTCCTCTTGTAGTTTAATCTTAAGGCAGCATAACAAGCCAACCCTAACTATGGGATTTATAAAAAAGGAAAGTGTTGAGCCCAGTCTTAAAACTGGACAATGTGTCAGCCTCACGGACAGAGACTGGAAGTTGGTTCCACAAGAGAGGAGCCTGATAACTGGAAGATCTTCCTCCCATTCTGTTTTTGTAAATTCTAGGAACCACAAGTAAACCTGCAGTCTGAGAGTGAAGTGCTCTGTTAGGAAAATATGGAACAATAAGATCTGTAATATAAGATGGAGCTAGGTTGTTGAGAGCTTTGTAGGTTAGAAGTAAGATTTTGAATTCTATTCTGGATTTGACAGGGAGCCAATGGAGAGAAGCTAAAACTGGAGAGAGATGATCTCTCCCAGTAACTCCAGTTAAGACTCTGGCAGCAGCATTTTGGATCAACTGAAGACGTTTTAAAGAAGTATTTGGACACCCAGATAATAAACCATTGCAATAGTCCAGTCTAGACGTGACAAATGCATGGACCAGTTTTTCTGCATCATCTTTAGATCAGATGTTTCTAATGTTAGTGATATTACGCAGGTGGAAGAAGGAGGTTCTAGTAACGTTTTTAATGTGGGGGATAAAAGACATGTCCTGATCAAAAATAACACCAAGATTTTTAACATTAGAGCTGGAGGACAGATTAATGCATCTAAGGAGGGAGAAAGACTGAAACATTCATTCCTAAGGTGCTCAGGTCCTAAAACCAAAACCTCAGTCTTGTCTGAGTTTAAAAACAGAAAATTAAGGGTCATCCAGGTTTTTATGTCTTTATGTCTTTGTAGTCTAAGTGGCTGATTGGATTCATTGGGTTTAATGGACAAATATAATTGTGTGTCATCAGCATAACAATGGAAATTTATCCCATGCTGTTTAATAATTTTACCTGATGGAAGTAATGGAAGTTCCTGATGGGGTTCTCTTATTGTCCTATCAGAATACTATTACGAGCAGGAGGAGAGGACGGATGAGGACGCCGAGCCGACCTTCTCAGAGGACGAGGCCGTCACTCAGAAAGGACTGAGGCGTTCGCAGAGTGTCAAGATCACAAGATCGAAGCTCCGCAAAGACGTGAGTGGTCTATTTCACAACAACTCTAACTGTAAGATATTAGAGGACTAAAAAGCGTCCTTCAGACAGGTCTGAGAGGAATCGGGCTTCATAGTTTGTGTTCAGTCATTGTGTTGTTCTGTTCCCAGCCTCGTTATGGATCACTGAAGATTAAAAGTAAGAAGAGACCAACCGTGAGCTCAGCCAACTACGCACCCTGAACGGAGCACCGCTCACACACACATGGAGCAGAGCAGCCTGCTGATTGGTGGACGCTGCTGTCAGCTGACTTTTCCCTCTGCTCAGGTTTTTCATATCTGCTGACATCTAAATTACCCAATTCATCCAAAACCAGCAGCTGTCTGAGATGTTGGTGGACGAGTGTTTTTATTTGGGCTCTTTATAAGGTGCACATGACCAATCGAACATGGAGCTGGTGTCATGCTGACGTCTTTCATTACAATTATAAAAATATGCGTGTTTAGTCTTAACATATGTTTGTTGTCTTTGTATCGTTTAATGCAAGTTCACACTTGTTAACGAGTTGTGTAACTTCACAGGTGGAGGCTATATGCTTCATTAAAGCTCGAATCACTCTTGGAAAACATTTATAAATCCATATTAGGATAAGAGATAAGAACTTTATTGTTCTTGCAGGAAATTGTTGACTGGCGACATTTAGGAAGTCAAAGTTAGTTGAAACTAGGGGTGCACCGATAAATCAGCCGGCCGATTTATCAACCCCAATTTCTTTAATTTGGAAAATCGGAGATCGGCCGATACTTAAAGGAGAAAACGATTTTACCAACTTTTTTTTGTTTTAACAATTGTCTAAACTTCATTTATATTTCAGAGCACTACCTCTTGGCCAGTTAAAACAAGTTTGGATTGTTTCTAGGATATTTTCATTCAACCTTTATTTAGACAGGTTAATGCCATTGAGCCTCAGGGACTCATTTACAAGAGAGACCTGAGAGGATGCTGTTCAAGAGTCTGTTTTTCAATAAAATAAGATGGAGAACTGAAGGTGCATTGTGACCTTATAACACCTGACAGTGTCGCTTATAAAACTAAATCGGAATCGGCAGGTCCGACTTTTTAGAGATCGGTGATCGACCAGAAAACTGCACTCGGTGCACTCCTAGTTGAAACAATTTACAAAGTACTTTAACATGTTCATGGTTCCTGCACAAACTTAACAATTGAAAGAAAGGTTTAAAGTTAAAAAGAGGATTTCTTCACAGGATTTTTAAAACGCGTTTTTTAAATTAAACTTTAAAAAGTTTTCCCCTCAGACGTGTCGTTCCTTTCATATCCATCTTTGTTTGCAGACTGTTGGGTTTTAAATATTTTAGCATTGACCACTAATCAAATAATTAAATTCATTTTAGAGAAATGTTTGAGCAAAGAGATGGAAAAAAGATGCTTGAAGTGAAAAATCTGACATGTTGTCTGTAAGTCAGAATAAACCCTGCATGTCTGTTTTTATCTTTTTGACCTTTGCCCCATCGGACCAGCATTGGATTAGTGTAAAATATGTGTTTTATATTATATGTCAGTACAAAGGGTTTTTTAAAAATGAAAACACTTCACACTATGTAATAATTTTATCTGCTTACGAGTGGGCTGAACACATCATCTGTGATCCATTTAGTCTGCCTGGTTTAAAGTCCGGCTCTGCTGTCAGCTGGTTCAAGCTTCAGAGCACAGATGAGGACTGAGTTGAACTTCAGGGCACTTCATCCTGTTGCAGTGAAACGTGCTGGAGTTGGTGTTTGCAGCACCAAACGGTGAGAGGCCCGGGAGAAAAACCCAAACTGACCAGGCCCCAGCAGGTTTCTGAGACCACTCCTCAGTTAAAGGGATTTCTTTACTCTTTGCTTTTCGCTCTTGCCTTTTTAAAAATGATCATGTCTCAAATGCTGGTTGTGCAGTTCTCGCTGTAACACTTATAATCACTGAAAATGCCCTTTATTTTTAAAGCTTTGTGTGTTTTTGTTTTGTAACCACCTTAATTTGCACACAAACCTCCTTCCTCATGTTTTCTATAGTTTTTATTGTCGGTCATCTCATGTAATGAAGTGCTGTGGGACGCTGCAGGACAGGACTCGTTTGATGCTAACGCTAACAGCGAGCCCACAGCACTTTCAGTGTGGCTTGCTGCGCAGCGTTTTATATTATCGGTGCAAGTTTGATCCAGTTTGAAGGGGTTTTCTTTTTGTTTTGGGACTTACTCAAAGATGGTTTCAGTCATAAGTTTGGATTTTCAAACTGCACAGGAACATTTTTGTACTTCACCAAAGTAGCCACACTTTTGTGTCTTGGATTTATTCCTCAGAACTTAATACCAAAGCTCAGTGTGCCCACGTGGACCTGTGGCCACAGCGTTTTATTTTAATCTGTGTTGGTAAACTGTGTGGAGTGATGTTTGCTAAAACATAAATGCAAAAATAAAAAATCAAAAACATCATTCCTGTCTTTTGTGTTCTTGAGGCAGATTGTAAACTTTGGATGGTGTAACTGCATCGAGCTACAAGAAGCACGGATACATTTTGGGAGGTAAATGTTTTTTATTCTTTAAAGAGTGAGACAGATTCCACCTGGTTTGAAGAGACCTCATCATCGAGTACGGAGGGGCTGAGTAAAACCAACAAGAACGTGGATCAGTGCTCAGAATGAAACGTGGGATTAGTTTTTAGCATGTTGTCTTTTCATAGTGTGCACACTAAGGACATGGATGTACAGATATGGAAGCTCAGTAGAAGTCTGTCCATTTCAGTGAAACAGGACAATTTTATTTCAACCTTGAATCATTAAAATGTACAGGAAATAATATTTAAACATGGCTCAGTAAGGTCTTTCTTTCTTTCAGCTGCTCCTTCTTCAGGGGTCGCCACAGTGAAGTGTCGCACTAAGACTTGGTGATAGTTTCTACGCCAGATGTCCTTCCTGACACAACCACAGCCTCTGAGTGGAGCAGAGCGCTGCTGTCCCGCAGGAGCAGATGGTGGGGGTTAAGGGCCTTGCTCAAGGGCTAAGAGTGGGGCAAATGAAGGAGGCAGGTGTGGGTGCTTCACCTGTCCCTCCCACATGTTGATGTTGGTCCAGGGAGTTGAGCTGGTGAATCAAAGGCCCACCTTATAACCTGCACCACCACTCCCCCATATTGTAGCAAGGTATGAGCTACATAATCAAGTTCACACCTGAAAAAACTCAACTCTTCATTTTTAGATGGGAAAATGTGCAATTTGTGTTAAGTTATGAGATGGAAAATCATAATGTGGTTCAGAGTCAGACATTTTAAAGATGCTATCAAGTTTTAAAACTGGAGTAATAAAAAATCAAGTGGCTGAAATGGGCTTTGTTCATTAACAAAGAGTTGAACTGTAATGAACCTTTGTGACTTCAAGCTTCCAGCGTTGGTTTTTCATTTTGGTATGAATTCATTAACTTGGATAATTGGTTTGAGGACAAGTGAGCTCTATGCAGTAACTGAAGTTGCAGAGCAAATGCTGCTCCACATTTCTTCAGTGATCTCAAGATTCAGTTCTTCTCCCCAGGTCTGGGCCAGAGTTGGTGAGTCAGGCTTATACTGACGTTTTAATGCTTTCTAGCACAAACTGACAATTCACAAGTTCTGGAAAACAGCTTTTCAATGGCCCAGATCTCAGTGTCCTCGAGTAAAGTTGTTTGTTTTTTAACAAAATCTCTTGTCTGAAAAAAATGGAAGAGATTGTTTTTCCCTATTCCAAAGACTTCCACAACTTGATTAAATGACATGAGGATCCAAGCTCTGAAAAGACAACCTGAAGAGGAAATACTCTTAGTCACCCATTCCCCAAAACCTGCATCCAGCATACCTGGAAGGAAGTCAGGCTTATGGACCAAGGGGGTAAATGGACTGTACTCATACAGCGCCTTTCTATCTTATTTCAAGATACTCAAAGCTCTTTACAACAATCTGTGCCTCATTTACCCATTCATACAGCTCTATACTAGATCTCTACAAAGCTCATTGAACAAATCATTCTAAAGAGACTAATCAGAGCTTTATCACATTCATACACTGATGGGACACACATCAGAGGCTATCAGGGGTTCAGTGTCTTGCCCAGGGACTCTTCAACATGTGACTGCTGGTGGATTTGAACCCTCAACTCTTGCATTGGAGGACGACTGCTCTAACCACTCAGCCACAGCCGCCCCGGGGTGAAAGGGGAAGTTTTCCCAGTTCACCCCTCAATATGTTGAGCTGCTCTCCATGCCTTGACTGTATTAACAATAATTGGATTGTTACAACATTTATTCATCGTTTTCATATTTTTAAGAAAAACCAGACTTAAGAGGGCGGTCACATAACGAGGCTTCTACACTCTCAGGCATATAATAGAAGAGAGCTCAATTGATATTTTTTTGAGATCTGGAAGATCTAAGCCTCCCGTGTCTCTTGGAAGTTGTAGTGTTAACATTTTTATGAACGCCCTTTTGGTTGCTCCAGATAAAATAATTAAACCAGCTCTTTAATTTTTGGATCCATTTTTGAGTAAACGGACCAGGGATCATTCTGACTGGGTAGAGCAAGCGAGGAAGGATGTTCATTTTAAGAAGTGAAATTCTGCCTAGCCAAGATATGGGAAGACAATTCCAACGCTCAAGGTCTAGTTTAATTTAATCAAATAATGGGACAAAGTTTGTTCTGAACATCTGATTGAAGACGGGTGTAACAAATATACCAAGAAATTATTATTATTAACCTTACCTTTAATCAGGCAAATCCCATTGAGATCACAGATCTCTTTTGCAAGGGAGGTCTGGGCCTGAAGGCAGACTAACATGCATGTTGTTGGTCTGTGGGAGGAAACCAGAGTACCCGGAGAAAACCCACACAGCACGAGAAGAACATGCAAACTCCACACAGAAAGACCCCAGGTCCAACTGGGGATTGAACCCAGGACCTACTTGCTGTGAGGCAACAGTGCTAACCACTGAGCCATCGTGCTGCCAAAAGATATTTAAATCCTGCAAGAGACCATTTAAAAGGGGAACTGGGAATGGAAAATTGTTTACCTAAGGGCATGGCCTCGGATTTGGAGGTTTATTTTGTATACAGAGAATGAACCAAATTGATTACTGTATTTTTTGCATAATTTGCATGCCCTGCGACTTAAACGCAGAAGTGACGTATTTATGGATTTTCCCCATATTTATAAACCAATGTTTGGCTGACATATGGCTGTTTTTTCATTCTGATTGAAAATATTGAACACTACAATTTTCAGCCGCTAGATGGCAGTTGAGTAGTATGGCATGCCATTGTGTCATGTAATGGGTAAAAGTGGCTATTAATGACACAGTTGGCTTGCCATAGACTGCCACTGTCGTCCGCTCACCAGGAGCAACATCAAATCAACTTCATTTCGCTGCACCGCCCTGATGAAATGCAGCTGATTTGACTATTCAAGTACATTTATTAAGGAAAAGTTCAACTGAGACACACCTTTACTATAATGTCGAGCAAACAAATAATTGTTTTATGCGCTTATCTTGTTAAATTTTAGAAGAAATGTGCAGCATTCCTCCTTTCTGATTTCCGGATACTTTTGAAATGCAGCTGATTTGACCGTCAAAGTGCATTTATTAAGGAAAAGTTCGACTGAGACACACCATTACTATAATTTCAGGCAAACAATTGTTTCTAAGTGTTAATCTTGTTAAATTCTTGTTAAAGTCCTCCCGTGCACGCTCCCACGGCTGCCATTTGGCAGCCAATTGATTTTTGGCACAGCACCGCCCCACATTTCTGGGTTCGGCCCACATTTCCGGGTTGTCAGT